CATTTCATTTGTCGAGAAGAATTGATAGACAAAATGTCTAATTAAAAATAAAGAAAAATATTTATGAGCTAAAATTAGGGGTGCTATCATTTCTATCCAACTTTAAGCTAGTTCTAATAAAAACATTTAAAAAAATTTTTTTTAAATTTCTAGTGTATGGAATGTGCGGTCAGAAAACAGGATGTTTTAAGTGCATCACATCCTGGTGTGAGTTCAAAAGGGGCTAAAGGGTTAAGCAGTGAAGAACGGGAATACGCTTTGGACATTTGTCAAACAAGAAATACTTATTATGTTGCACCAGATATATAAGCTTCTGATGTATGGAATGTGCGGTCAGAAGGCAGGATGTCTTAAGTGCATCACATTCTGGTACAAAAAACAAAAAACTTTTTTGTAAAAATTCTTTTATTTATATATAAAAAAGAATTAATTTGATTTGATTGGAATTTAGAATGAAATATCCATATATCCATTTTTTATAAAATAGCCATTTTATAGAAAAAATAGCCATTTTATATAAGATAGCCATTTTTTATAAAATTAATTTTATTTTTTTTGTTGAACTTATTTTTTTTTAATTTTTTTAATTTAAATTATTTTTTAATTTTTTAAAATTGTTAAGCTACGCTTACTTAAAAGTCGCCCGCGACACGCGACATGTTCAATATGCTTTGAGGAGGGTAAGCTTTGATGTATGGAATGTGCGGTCAGAAGGCAGGATGTTTTAAGTGCATCACATCCTGGTGTGAGTTTAAAAATTACTCTTATTTCGATAATATTACATTTTAATTTAATCAAAAAATTCATTTTCAAAAGTATTTATCCTATACATTATTCCATTTATTATCTTTGCTTAATCTTGTTGCAAAATGTCTGGAGAAAATACAAACTTCTATAATATGATTTTCATCAAGTCATGGACGATATTACTAAAACTTCTTCTGAAATTTTTGAAATGTATATTTTTTATTTTTTTCTTATATTTAAAGCAGGATTTTATACAATTTTATACATACTTAAATAATATTATTTATTGTTTTAAATTAACATTATATATTAGTGCTTTCTTTCAATTTTACTAACTAAAACTGAAGAATATCCACGTTTTGCTGATTGTTTGTCATTTAACTTCAACCAAGAACATTAGAAACGAATTATCTTGCGGAACTTGCAATTCAAAAAATTTAAAAGTTAGTGAGAAAATATGGAAACTACAGAAATGATTATTATAAGGTTAGATAGACCCACGTAAGAATACGATTATTTATAATGAAATAATAACATTTAAGAGCTAAAGATAAAGATATTCGAAATGTAAATTTGATCGAAAGTTTTAATTTTGTTGAATATTTCAGTGAGAGATCTGAATTTAATCGCACAAACTATAAGTTATATGCAATGGTGTTATGTTTTTAATCTTATCAGATACTAGTGGTCGGTTTATTTTTTCAATGTTCGGTTTATTTTTCAACTTTCCTCTATAGGGTCGGTTTATTAGAAGGGGTCGGTCTAATAGAGACAGTCGGTATATTTTCAATACTGAAAACCCAACCAGGATGACCGATTCTGAACCGCTAATGTATCAAAAGTAGGGTCAAGTATCCATTACATTGTATATGTATGAATCGTTGATGGTCGAGGATTGCCTTTGACATTGTATTCCTATTTTTAACGGCGCATTCCAGCACAAGTCTGGGGCCTAGGTTTTCTGACGATTCTGTTTAACTTCACGTTAATACCAATCACTCCAACATAATGTTCTACAAATGGACGTGGGTCTATCTATGTGCAAAAAATTACGAAAACACTTATTCCTTCAAAATCTCTCGCTATATATCTTACTCCCCTTAATCGCTTAAAATCCTCTTATATCTTTCGATATTTCACCATATCCACCGATATCCTTCTTGGTGTCCCACAATAAGATTTGTTTTAAGTTACTGAGTTTAAATGCCCCGCATTTTACTTAATCTTACAATAATTTGGTTATTTTTTGCGTAATTTTTAATTCTTTTTTTGAAAATCCGAATCTAAAAAAATCCGGTTTTCCGTATTTTGATTCAGAAAATCCACGCCGGATAAGGAAAATTTCTAAAATCCGGAAACCGAATCCTGCATTTTTCAGATTTTGCTCTATAAAAGAATATGGCTATAAAACATAAAAGACGCCACATTAAAGTGGGTCGGTTTAATAGAAGAAGTCGGTCTAATAGCGACAGACTTTATTTTTCAATCTTCTTCTAGGGGGTCGGTCTATTAGAGGGAGTCGCACTATTAGAAGAAATACGGTACTTTTTTCATTTGTCCCTTTTCGTTCAAAAATAAAAAATATTTACATGCCTTTTTTAAAGATTTATCTTTTTTAAATATTTGCTCAATTTAAATATGTTATTTAAGACAAAACATAAATTTCTAAATATATATTTTATTTTTTATTAAAATTTTTTGTTAATAATTTTTACAGATATAATTTTAAACAACAAATTGACCTTTTTCCAAAAGTATTTAATTTTTAAAATTTTTTAATAACTAGGGGCGGTTCAAGACTTCCTGTCTCCTCCCAACAATGATTTATAGGTTGTTCTCCGACACATCCGTACGTTATTTCCCAACATTGTCGTAAATTTTTGTTTCTAAAGGAGATGTCCCCGACTTTCCTTTCTCGTCCGACAATGGTTTTAGGTAGTTCTCTGATCCAGATCCCCAAATGTTAGTTCCTAACATCGCCATTTCCCATAAAAAATAAATGGAGAATCTGGGGAAATTTCCATGTGGATATGAAACCATATAGAGATCGGTTAAGATCATGAATCTTGTCCAGGTTACTAACCTAAATCCAGATCCAGAGTCCAAATCCAGGATTTTTGAAAATACCGATCTCTATAATATCACTGTCAAAAAATATTTTTTCTCCCCATTCCTCATTAATTTTAAGCACGTTTTCAATTTACGCCTAAATGATTTTTTCGCTAATTTTTAAATTAATTGATGAAAATTTTCTTTTTCCCAATTCATTTCCCCTTTAATCAATACATATATTAACATTTTTGTTAAAAAATAATATTAAACTAATCAGTCAATCGTTTTCCTTAAGGCGATTTGCAGCGAAGGGGAATTAAATAAAAATAGTATATTTGATTGGCCAGACGCTCTAAATAAATATATTTCTTAATTTTTCATGCGTTGCACAAAAAACTACACAAATTTATTTTCTTTTTTAATCATTCTCTCTTTTTTTAAATTTTATTTTTAAAAATCGTATTTTTGTTTATTATATTTTATTTTTGTCATCTTATTTTAGGCAAAATTGTTGTTTGTTTCCAAAATTTTTTTATCATACCCCTCTCTAACTAAAATTTAAATTCTGATTTATTACTAAAAGCAAAAATAAGGCAAATTAAAATAATGGGTTGTTGTTGTGTCATATTGTTTGTTATATTGTCATTTGTTATATTATATTGTCATTATATTGTCATTTCATATTTGTCATTTGTTCTGTCATATCACCCGGAAACCGGTTCGGGCAAAATATATGTCTTTCGAAATATCTCACCGAGCTGTGTCGAACGACACCAAAATTAGCTTCGGGACTCGTCTATGAGCCGAGATATAGGGTCCCTTAGCTAATTTTGGTGTCGTTCGACTCAGCTTGGTGAGATCTTTCGACTGACAAATCATTTGTCTGAATCGGTTTTCGAGTGATATGACGAAATTTTTCCGAAAAATGTATGCCACAAACGACAATATTACCACGTTTTCTTAAAAATTTTATTTAAAAAATTTTTCTCAGAAAATATTTAAATTTTATTTCCCTTCTTTTACTCATCATAACACACAAAAAAACTCTTAAAACAAAATTTCATTAGTGAATCACACGTTTTCAGTTTTTCTTTTAAACACGAGACAACCGAGAAAATGTAAAAAAATAAAGGGGGAATTTGGCGATAAGAAACATAAAAATATTGAACACTAAATTAAAAAGTGTGTTCAATTTGCAAATTAGAAGTTTGTTTGGCTTTTTTTTATTTGAAAATATCCCCTCTTTTTTTAACCTTTTTAAGTGAAAGAAAGTTTGTTAAGTCAAATGTACTATTTCTTTCCGGAAAATTATCTTTTTTTAAACTTTCCGGATGCAGACTTTGCCGGAAAGTTGGAAATTTTCCGTAAATAATTTTTTGATCTTTCCAAGGTTTTTGATTTTTATCCAAATTCCCGGATAATTTTCTGCAATTATAGACTCTTTTTGGTTATGTTGCCCTAAAATCCGCAAGTTTTTTCCCTCACAATTTATTATTCAGTTTTTCAAAAATTTATAGGATTATGTAGGAATCAAATGTTTACTAAATTTCTATCTGAACTTTAAATTTGTTTAAGAATTACACTAAAAATAATCCTTTTAAAAAAATTAAGGTAAAATTTAAGTCCGTTTCCCCCCTCTAAGATCACGACTACACCCCAAGACCGAAAAACCCCCAAGTTATGTCCTGAGTCAAGACCAAGAGTCTTGCAAGCCTCTGGGAATTAAGAAAGAAAAATTTGATCATTCTGTACAAATTAGGAAGGAAAAGAGGGACGAACTTTAATTACCAAAATTAATAAAATAAATTTTAGAGTGAAACTTGCGGATTTTGGGGCAACATGCAATTACTTTTAACTTATTTTTTCTTGGAAACCAAGAAAAATTAAATTCCAACCATTCTACTTTTTTTTATTTTAATTATTTAATTAATGCGTGATTCCTAATCAACATGCCACCACTCATTTTTTTCTTTTGTTTGCCCCCTCTTCTAATCTTCAAATTTTAAAAGCACGCGACTTGTCTCTGCGTCATCACGCGACTTCCTTTTTTCTTTGATTAGGATGTCCCCAATATTTTATATTTTTATTTTAACGACTTCTGATTAGAATAAACGGTCAAGAACCCATATAAAATAATAAAAGTAAAAAGATAAAATTAAATAAAATCAAATAAATAGATTTATTGAAATAAGTTATAGTAATTCCCTCTGTATTTTTCAGTCTATTTTTGCACCAAATAAATACATATGTCCAAGATCTAAAACAGATAAAAAATCTAAAAATCCGACTCACGATGAGGCTAGAGGTCGGCAAAACCTTGTCTGAGGGTCCTGAATGTGGGATTCCTTCTAAAAAATTTTTAGAAATTTTTTGTCCACCTCCAGCATTGAGTCCCATCAATTTGTTGGATGTGAACGGGATCCTGCGGGATAACCCCCGAAAAATCCGGCGCTGTATTCCGTCCCGCACCGACTTCTAAACCAAATTTCACCCTAATTCCAAAACCGAAAACCCCTCAAGTAAAGTCTTGAGTCGGGATCCCGCGGGATAACCCCCGCAAAATCCAGCGCGGAATCCTGTCCCGCACCGACTTCTAAACCAAATTTCACCTCAATACCAAAACCGAAAAACCCCTTCAGAAAAGTGAGTCTTTGCCCAAGACCACTAATCTTGAACATTATTTTCCACATTTTAAGCCTTTTATTTTTTGTTTGTTAAGCACCAAAAATTATCGGAAACACTTGAACTTTGATTTCATTTATTTTAGCTTCCACATAGACAGACGCTCTTCTCAATTTTTAATCCTTTTGTTTAAAATTAAATTTCTTAGACTATTTAACAATTTAATTTAACAATTTTTAAACCAAACAGATTATTTAAAAAAAAAGAAAGAAAAAAATGTCTCCAGTTCATAGTCCCATTCTTAATTTAACACAAATGCAGCTTTCTTTTGCTGGGTGTGGATTTCTCTGTATTTACCATGCGGGGGTTTGTGCTGCTATTAAAGGTGTTTTTAAATGATTATTTTATTTATTTAAAATGCTCAAGAGTAGTTTTAAAGGAAAAAACAAAAATTATCAGGAATGATAAAAAAAAATTAAATGGAGAAAATATATCTTTTTATTACACCAATCTTAAGTAAAATTAACTCGTGGAGATTATTTTGGTTGTATTTTCTTTTCCTACTTTCTCCTAATAATTACAAATTAGGGATCGGATCGATACGATATTTTTTCGATATTTTTATAGCGAATATCGACCGACCCCTCATGCAGATCTCTATTACAAATGATTAAGAGCAGATATTAATCAGACAAATATTTATAAATAGACCCAGTCTGAGTTTTCCAGACCCAGAAATCCCCCGCATAACTGAGAAACTTGAAGAATAGATTTTATAAAAACATACGGTTTCTGTAATATGGGAAAGACCCGTTAATTAGCCCGAACGGATTCGAATCCGATTTTTTAGAATTAATTTAATCTGTTTAATTATGCATTAAGGATAATTTTTAAGAAATAAAAATGTTTTATTTTATTAATTGAAAAATTTATTTTAGAATACGCCCCACAACTAACTCTTAATCGGATAAAAGGAGCTTCCGCAGGTGCAATTGCAGCTGCTGGTTTAGTTTGTAATGTGTGTATGTCACACGCAACCAGTACAATTTTGCAAATTGTTACTGAGGTAGAAATATTTTGGTAAATTTTGTAAAAAAATTTGAGTTAATTTCCTCTATTCTCCCAAAAGTTTGCGAATTTTGTTCGCAAATCAGACTTGAATCTTTTGTAAATTTATTTCCTTATCAACAAATTATTACGAAGCTTTAAAGTTATTCCTCTTGTAAATTACGAACATTTTGGAGGATTAATGAGAAGAAACAATTTTAGCTAGTAATTTTAGTTTGAGTTCTAACTGGGGATTTGGTTCTTGACCCGATAGTATTATAAAAGGTCTCTAGAAAAATTTAAAGGAAAAAGTACTGATTCCGGCATATAATTTAAAATTATTTAAAAATTAAAATTCTTAATTTAATTTTTAAAGGCGCGTGCTGGTTCTTTACTTGCACTTTCTCCCAATTTTGATGTTCTTGCACTTGTTCGACAAGGACTTGAACAAACATTACCAGAAAATGCCCGTAATTTCTCTTTAAACTTTTTCAAATTCCTTAAAAATCCCCTACCAGATATTCTCTGTACTGGTCGACTTTTTATTTCCGCTACACGGGCACGGGATTACAAAAATGCGCTTATTTCTGAATTTGTCTCTCGTGAGGAGTTGATAGAAGCACTTTTGTGTTCTTGTTTCATCCCTTTTTATTGTGGAAGAACTCCGCCAACATACCGAGGAGAGCAGTATATTGATGGGGCTTTTTCGGATAATCAGCCAGGAAAGTGGGAGCCTGGCACTATTACGGTGAATTTTAAATAAGACCGGTAGGACCTCATTAACACAGTTGGGCGAAAATTTTGAAGGGCCAAAAAATCCGAATTCTTCATTTTCCGCACAACGGGTAACACTTTTCTGAATTGTCATAGATGGAGAAATTCGCTTTTTCGATCATCCCTTTGCCCCTTTTTTCCCCATTTTGTGAAGGTGAATTCTAGCCTCCCCCTTTAGATACCCCTTAATGTGTCAAATAATAAAAATTTAAGGTGAGCCCATTCAGTGGTGAATCCGACATTTGCCCGACTGATGAGGATAGTGCAAGGCAAGTTTAGAAAACTTCACCTTAATCTAAAATTCGAAAAATTTCAGTATGTTCGGCTTTGATATAGCCGGCACTTCTGTTCAGTTCACCACTCAGAATTTGTTTCGTTCTATTGTAATTTTATTTCCTCCTGCACCAGAAGTTTGTTCTCGGATTTGTCGACAGGGATTTGAAGATGCACTTCGTTTCCTGACCAAAAATCGTTGGTCTTTTTAAAATTTTTATTAGAAATTGGGATTTCCGTGGGTTGATTCAGTTTTTAATTTTTACATGAGCCAAGGCCTGAGATCAGGGCGAAGACCTTGAAAACACTTAATTTTTTTCAAAATGCCATAGTCAGGGGCAGTGTTTTACGGGTTGCGTTGATTTTTGGCCTTGCGTTGATTTTTCACGATTGCCTCTTGCGCTCACCCCTGGTCAGGGGTCTGAAAAATGCTGGTCCGGTCCCCTGTCTTGCCCCGAAAACCTATTTTATTCCTGAAAATGGTCAGGCCTGTTCCTGATTCGAACTATAATTTTTACCTTTTCTTAAAAAATTTTCTTACTTATTAAGATCTCGTTCCATGTATTGAATGTTTAACAGTCCAATCAAACGCAATTCCAGTTCCATCAACCCCAACACAAAATATAATTACCAAAAAATCTTTACCAACACCAACAACTGAACCTTTTCTAAAAAGTAATAGAATAAGAATTTTGCAAAAGCAACGGGCTAATAGTGCTAGTCCTGTTAATAGAAGAAGATCAAATGGTTGTGAATTATGTCTTGGACCGTTAGGACGTATTGCCTCCTCTAGTTTTTCGTCTATCCCGTTGCCGTCAGTAGTCCAGAAAAGTGAGTAATTTATTGAAAAAGATTAAAATTGGGGGTGTTTAAAATTTTTTTGCCGAAAATTAGCCGTTTCAAGTCAATTTCTGAAAAAAAAGTTTTCGAAATAACGTCTGTTTTGACCAAAATCCAGATGTATAATACGCTACGGATGTCACATGTCTTAAAAATCGTTTAGGGTTCCGGGTTGGTTTTTCGAAATTTTTCGGGTCCCATGACACCACTGACCATAATTTATCTTTGTTGGAAAATTGTATCTAAAATTGAGTGTATCAATTGTTAGGGTATTAAGGTTAATCCTTCCCCCAATTATCCTCACCCTATGACCAACTAAATTAAAAACATTAACATATTGAGGTCTAACTGTAACCAAAAATAACTAGTCTTAAACCATTCTAATTAAAACACTTATTTAAAAAAATCTTTAGCTCTAACCGATATGGAAACTCGAAGTGCTGCTGGCTTACTTAGTTGGCTGCGACGTTGGCGTTTGATTAGGTGGTGGTTAAGGTTAATCCTTCCTCCAATTATGTTGCCATTTGAATTAATGCAATTTGCATTGAGAAAGTGAGATTTTTAGAAAGTTTTTTTTTGAAAAAAATTTTTTTTTCTCAGACTTCGTGCACGAATTAAAAAAAGTATTTTGGCCCCAACAGAAGCTATCCTTCTCCGTTTCCAACACTTGATAGATTTTATTCTCCAACAAATTGAGAATAAATATATTGCCCCCTCTGCTGTAATAGCTGTTGGTTCCCCTTCATTAATACAAATTACGGAATCACAAAAAATAAATGAAATTAAAAATGAGAGAAAGAAGTCTATAGCTTCTTTACAAAGAAAAATTTCTGCTTCAATAGAACCTTTAGATTTGGCAATTGATAATTATAAAAATGTTGATAGAGGAAATAAAAAGGTTATTGAAGAGGATGAGGTAGAGAATGGAACTGGAAATGTATTGCAAAAATTGGTTAATTGTGAAAAGGAAGATGCCATTCTTCAATTTACTTTTAGAGAAGACGAAACTAATGAGGCAAGTTTAATAATTTTATAGTCAGAACGCGCTATAAGGCTCATTTTTTGGGCACATAAAACGCTTAGGCAGCTCCCCTTATCCAATATCCGATATATGTATAGTAGCCCCCTCTGCTGGGCTTATATAGTTTTCCTTATCCAATATCCGTAATAAGTAAGAATTTAAGAATTTACAAAGTAAGAATTAAGTAAGGAGTAAGAATTTACAAAAGTTTAAAATCCCTTTAGGGTCAAAAATTAGATTAGACAAATGATAGCTCATTTGAAAGAGCTCATCGAGCTGAGAGCAAAATCAAAATCACCGTGATTGAACAAGTTTGAACAAAGTTGCGATACAAAAATGAATCAAGTGAACCTCTACTATCCGAAGTGCTTGTTAGGCTTTTTGTATCGTTGTCCAAACTCGTTCAATCACGGTGATTTTGATGTCATTCTTCTCAGATCGACGTGCTCTTTAGATTGAGCTATTATTTTTATATTTGAATTTTTCCCATTCAATTATCCCCCATTAAATTTTTTGACCATTATGAGCTCATCGCTGCTTTTCAGATTTCAAATGTAATAATTTTATAAAAAATATTTTTGCCACTTTTCAGCTCAAAATCTGTCAAATTTTCGATACTAGTTCAAAACATTTACACGAACAACAAAACCACCATTGCCCTAACGGTATTATAAGCTCACATTCAAAATATGAAGGGTCTTTGTTTGATACAGAGGAACAAAAAGGAGGAGAAGATTCGGGACTTTCCTTAGCTGAAGATGAAGTTTGTGAAGATGATAATGAAAAGAGAAAAATACAAATTTATTTAAAAAAGAATAAAAAACGGATTTAAGTAAATTTTTCTTTGATGATTTTATGTTGAAAAATTATTTTTATTTGTATTATTTTTGGCAATCCCGGAGAATTGGGATTTCTTTGAAAATAAATTTTAAAAATAATAAAAAGAATTTTTTTAGTGTAAAAAATATGCTGATTACGAATCTGAGCTCGGATTTTGAAAAAGTCGAATCCCGGACCCGAATTCGGAATATGACCCCGGACCTTCTCGGACATAGTACAAAATGGTCAGTCTTTCATATGCAGGTAAAACTCATCGAGCTGCATCGAATGACGCCAAAATCAAGAAATCCGACCTGATTGGACCGAGATACAGACCCTGAATAATGAAAAATCATAGGGGCGATTTTTTGGAGTAAAAAAAGTTTATACAAATGATAGCTCGTTCGAATGAGCTAGTCGAGCTGAGTAGGGCTATGGTTTTTAGGCACTAAAAAGTCAAAATAGGCGCCTAAAGTGCGTTTCAAAATTATAAAAACAAGCATTTTTTCGTGTTACTCTTACTTCCTGTGTACCGATAAAGTTATTGTACCGATTGAGAGCTTATATAAAAAAATTTTAAGGCCCACCAGAAAGCGTTTTGCAGTCTTTCGAATAGAAATTTTTGGATAGAACTTATAAATTTTAAAACCCTACACTTAGACACTAAATTTGAGCGTTTTGAAATCTTCCAAATAGAAATTTTTAATCATCTTTTTTGTATTTTTTTAACGTTTATCAAAAAACAAAATTTTTAAAACTATTTTTAAAATCAAATAAAAAAAAGTCAAATCTCAGATACCGTATTTACTCATTAATTCCTCTCCCTTGAATAATTCCCCATGCCAAGGATGGGTTGAAATAATAATCTCCCTCTCCCAAATACCCTACTCCACGTTCAAATTTTAAAAATCGAATAATTCCCCTCCCTTGAATAATTCCCCATTCCACGGATAGATTCAAAAAATAATTCCCCAGGGGAATTAATCGAGTAAATACGGTAATGGAATATCGAGAAAAAAACTTGAACTTATACCAAATAGGATACAATGTTAAATAAATTGTTCCAGAAATAATTAGGCGAAGAATACAAAATATAGGCAGATCAAGTCCATTGCCGTGAGATAAAATATATATAAATTATCAAAAAAAAAATTTAACACTAAATTCGTTTAATTTCAATTTCCTTGTTACCAAGTCCCCCAGATATAGTAATAGAGAATTTAACTTTCGGATTATATTTGCTAGAAAGTTTGTATATTGATTTTGACTTATAATCACGTGCCTTTTCAATCAATTCAGCTTTTTCATTTAAAGTAGTAATATTAATACAGTGCGGAAATAAAGATAGGACCAGAGGCTGTTAAATTCGTTTTTTTCGCTTATCTCTTTTTTAATGGCATTTAGAAAATAAGTTTCAACACAAAAATTTTAGGCCATTAAGTGCTCTTTAAAATGAGTATAAATATCAGTATACTTTATCGACAGAATTTTATCAAAAAAATTGGTAATACTGAAGAATACAGACCCCCTTTTTCCTTCCCAATTTTTCCCCATATTTTTACAAAATGATCAGGCTTTTACCTTTCTCCCATTCAATTTGCCTGTCTAATTTTTGCCTCTAATATAAAGAATAATCCTTTTTGTTTGATTGTAGGCAAAAATTAGACAGGCAGATTGAATGGAAGAAAGGAAAAAGCCTGACCATTTTGTAAAAATATAGGGGGGAAATTGGGAAGGAAAAAAGGGGGTCTGTATTCTTCAGTATTACCAAAAAATTTTAAACAAATACTACTAATTTTTAGGGTGGAAAAAAGATAGGACCAGGCTAGAAATATCGACTTTTGTTCGGTCAAAAATTCTATAAAAATTTCTATGAACATTTCCATCGATACTGAGTGAAAAATTAAAAAGAACAAAGTCTGTAACTTATTTCTTCATCGAGATCTCAAATCTCAAAAATCAACGAAAAATCGGGGTACATACTTAAAAAAATATTTTAGCTCTCTAGATCCTAAATTAAAAATTTTATTTTATGCCTATCTGAAAGCCCATAAAATTTACTGTACCCCGATTTTCCGTTGATATATGAGATTTGAAATCTCGATGAAGAAATTTGGTAAAGACTCAGTTCTTTTTTCTTTTCTACTCAATATCGATGGAAATATTCCCTGAAATAGAATTTTTGACCGAACAAAAGTCGATATTTTTAGTTTGGTCCTCTTTTTTTTCCCCCCAAAAATTGAGTAGTATTTGTTTTGGGATGTTTTGTAAAATTAATTGATAATCAAAAAGGTAATATTTGTACTCATTTGATAGAGGATAGATAAATCAATAATTTATATTAAATTTTTTCTTAAAAGTCTAAAATTCTGAAAAAAATTTGCGGAAAGGAAAATGTGGGCGTCTGGTCCTATCTTTTTTAACAGCGCTGTATAGGCATTAAATACAATTCTATCCGCCATTTTTGAACAATCTTTTAACTTTTCAATATGCTAAAATATGAGAAAAAATAGAAATATTAATGAATAGTTAAATAAAAATACCAAATTTGGGTTTTGCTATATTCGGACCCCCGTTTTAGAAAATTGAATCTAAAAAGAGATATCTACAATTAGGTCCGAAACCGGTTTGAAACCGGAACTGGAACCGCCAAAATTAAAAAACAGTTCCAGAACTGGAACCGGTTCCAGAGAAATTTTGGAACTTTCCCATCACTGGTTACAATACTATTGAAATGAAGATGCTACAAAAATATGCAGGAAAGTAAACTCTATAATCATTTTCTAAAGTATTGTCTAATGCTAAGTAGGGTTGTTCCACGATGGGGGGAAGGGGCGGACTGGGACGGGGAATCTTCAAAAAATCCCTCAAATTCCCCGACTTTCGGGGACGGGGACCAACACTAATGCTAAGCATAAAAAACCTACATTTATAACCAAATCAGAAAGTTCTAACATGCCATCTCCGCACATTATTACAACATTGTTAAACTTATCCCCATTCATTAAAATTTTCTGTAAAATATCTACAAATTCTTTAATATTATTTTCACGATATAATTGGTAAAATCGGACTGTATAAAGCGAACTGATTGTATGATTCATAGCAAAATTCAAAAAATTTTTGCTATTGTAAGCCTTGTTATACATTAGGAACGATTGTATAAGATAAAATTGTTTGGGAATTTTTCCAAATAATAATTGAATTAATTCAGGATTGAATATAAAACAATGAAAGCGGCCATACTCAAAAGAACATTTAAATAATCTATCCAAATAATAATAAACAATTTTCATTTGATTTTTGTTTGTAATAATGGTTGGTAGTTCTAGTATAACGCGATGGAACTCAGAAAACTTAGAATAATAAGCTGAAAAAAATTTTTTTGCTTGTTAACCTTAGATAAAATGGTACTATCTCATTATACCACCACATGTCCGCAAATGCTTGTACGCAGATTTTTCCTTCTTCTTTCATCCTCTCTCTTCTCATAAGGATTAAAAGAACGGTAAAGTTCTACAGTATTTATTCGAGTCGCAACTTGGTTAGAAGGAAGGCCTACTTTTCCCATAAACCTTTTGAGGAAAGAGAAAGGAAAACTTGTTATTACCGTCTTTTAATCCTTATGAGAAGAGAGAGGATGGAAGAAGAAGGAAAACCTGCGGACTAACATTTGCGGGCATCTGGCGGTATAATGCGATAGTACCGATAAAATAAGGGAAATGAAAGGAAAAAAAGGTTTACACGATTCTATTACCTGTCTTCAGCCCGGAGAGTGAGGTCCGATTTTAATTATTCTTAAAATTTTTTAAATATTGGCGCCGTAAATGTGGTCGGCTTAATTCGTGATATGGATTTATTAATTCGTGATTGTGGATTTCGTGATTGGACAGTCCAAAAATTAAATTTAATAAAAGGTAATAGTATTCCGCTCTAAGATTTTAATTATTTTTGGATTTTGTACAGGGTGGCCCTTTTACCCTATTTATAGAGGATTTTCCCTATTTTCGACCTTTTCGCCCTATTTTTGCCATATTTTTTCATTTGCCATATTTTTGCCCTATTTTTAACATTTTGTAAAATGTTTACAATTTTAGAATTTTGTAAATGAAATGGCAGAAAAAGGAAGAAATCTGGCTTCTTGGCCTTCGAAAGTTCTCAAAATTTTCGCCTGCGGCGCTGAAAAATGAAGAGATTTACTTCAAAGCTCCCAAAAGGCGCGCCCCCAAAATGTCCTACCCCCAAAATGTCCTAATGAATATAAACTCCCAAAATGTCCTAGTGAACAAAAACCCCCAAAATGTCCTACCCCCAAAATGTCCTAATGAATATAAACTCCCAAAATGTCCTAGTGAACAAAAACCCCCAAAATGTCCTCCCCTAAAATGTCCTAGTGAATAAAAACCCCCAAAGTGTCCTAATGAACAAAAACTCCTAAAATGTCCTCCCTCAAAAATGTCCCATCTCAAAATGTCCAACAGAATTAAAAACAAATTGGGGACGTTTTTCTGAACATGAAGGAAGTTGTTTCGAGAACAGGTTGAGAAATTTTGACCCTATCCCCAAAGAAGGGTCGAATCGTTTTTTTCATTACTTTTTATTACTTTATAAAAATGGTCAATTTTCCTTATGTTGATGTTTGCCTTAAGGAAGAATGGAAGACAGATAATGACAGAAAAACAAAAAGGACAGATGAAACTACGACGGACACAGACAGACAAAACACGGACGGACTCGGACAGACAAGATACAGACGGACTAGGACAGACAAGACACGGACGGACTCGGACGGACAAGACATGGACGAAATCGGACAGAAAACATGGACAGACAAGATACAGACGGACTAGGACAGACAAGACACGGACGGACTCGGACGGACAAGACATGGACGAAATCGGACAGAAAACATGGACAGACAAAGCACGGACGGACTAGGACAGACAAGATACAGACGGACTAGGACAGACAAGACACGGACGGACTCGGACGGACAAGACATGGACGAAATCG